ATCCGGGACTAAAGATCGATCTTTAGTCCCGGTTATTTGAACTGAGACTAAAGATAGCGATTTTTAGTCCCGGATTCGTAGTCCCGGTTGGAAAACCGGGACTACAAAGGGTTCTAAACCGGGAGTAGAAAGCATTTCTCCACCAGTGATAACCATACTTATGTTACACATCAACAATTTAAAGTTGTATATATTTTATATTATATTTACTTACTATATGTTTGAACAAACGTTACTACGCTACGAGCTTTATATCAAGGCTTGTATGATCAAAGAAGTTGATTGGGACTAAACCAAGATCTTTTCTAAGTCTACTCATATCTCATCATGTCACTTTTGGTCTATAGAAGACAAGAGATAAATTAGATCTACATATTTTGGATTTAGATTCGGGTCTCCCGATAGTATAAACTTCAAATAAACCGTACCTATCCGTTCATCTAAAAGGAATCTTAATTGGGACCAGGAGTACTTGTCACAAAGCTTAGGACAACAACAATGCACGTATCTTGCCTAATTAGGCAATAAGTAGCGGGATTAAGGTAGTAGGTCTTTGTAAAGTGAGTCTCATGAGGAAAAAGTATCGGTTTTTCACAGTTATTCTTTGTCCAACTCAGAATGCAGTAGAAGCACGTCCTTGTGTTGAAAAGAGATAGATATTATTTTTTTATTCTTACAACTGGGTCATAAACTTACTACTACCACTTCTACAATGCTTATTGCCAGTCATAGGAATAATTTATTGCCTAATACCTTCTTTTTCTTAACATCGTGGACGCCCTTATGGATTCTAAATTAAATGGTTTTGGTCTAACGCCAAAATTCCAACTAGTCTGACTTAGACCTTGGATCTTGTAATAGTGTCATAGGCTAAGCCAAGGGTGGACACCCTAAGGCTAACCCTAGGATATCCCAGTAGCCGTCACAGTTTAGAGTCGGGTTTTAGTTAGATTATTTCTACCAGTGTAGTTTCGTCGGTAGTTTGGTTCGTGGACCCCAACTTTGAGATCTTAATCATTCATCTCCAAATTAAGTTGTAATCTACCTTATTCTTGTATTCTTCGATTTGCATGCAGGGATTGGCCTTCTCGGTTATAAGGTCACCTGGGCAATGCATGGTTGATAACCTTAGGAGACGTGGTATTGCAATAGTAGTGTTCGGATTGTGTATTAATCATAAGTCGAATCATGTGTATCAAGTTTTTACCAAATTGATAGTTATCAATGCCTATCGAAAATTCGGGACCTAGTTTTTCATCAACGTCAACATGAGTAAAGCCTTTACTTCTAATAGAAATTTTACTCATTGTTAAATCTAGGAACAAAAATTTACTCATGGTGATAAATAAATCTTAGATGTTATTTTATGGTAGTTTTCAAGTTTACACTAGTTGAAGGGTTTACACTTCATATTTTCTCATCGTAATTAAAAGCACACACTCGTACAGTCCATGTGGTCTGGTGAACTAGGGTAATTATTGCTCTGCTGCATGTTTGGCATACCACGTATGGCAAGGCCACGTGACCTCGTGGCCACTTGCAATCCACCTCTATGCATTTTTAATATAGCAATTCTACAGTTTTTAACAAGGTATCATGAGTTACCAAAAATTTAGGTAGCAAGAGATATTAAATTTATAATAGAAAAAATGATACCTCATGGTACCTCCTCAATAACCATAAAATTGCTCTTTTTAATATATCTAGTAAGTGTGCATTTATTTAAACAGAACAAATCAATAATTGGATATTTTGTGATTGGCATAAAATTGTTATGGCCTAGGTATACAAACCTGTTGGATATACTTCTTTTCAAAGTTAGTTACTCCCTCCGTCTCCGTTTCAGACTATAAGTCGTTTTAATTTTGGTAAAATCAAATTGCTTTTAATTTAACCAATTTTATAGAAAAAATTAGTAATATTTTTAACTCAAGATAAATATTTTATGAAAATATATTTAATTATAGATGTAGTGAAACTAATTTGATATTGTAAATAATATTATATTTGTATATAAATTTAGTTAAATTTGAAATAGTTTGTTTTTCTTCAAATAATATTATTTAGTTAAATAATATTACATGTGTGAGGTACTAGGGCTGAGTTTAGATTCCAACTATTTTCTTCAAACTTTCAACTTTTCCGTCACATCAAATATTTGGATATATGTATAGAGCATCAAATGTGAAAAAAAAAAACCAATTACACAGTCCAACTGTAAATTGCGAGACTAATCTTTTGAACCTAATTATGTCATGATTAGCTATAAGTGCTACAGTAACTCATGTGCTAATGACGGATTAATTAGGCTCAAAAGATTCATCTCGCAGTTTAGAGTTAGAATCTATAATTTGTTTTGTTATTAGTCTATATTTAATACTTTAAATGTGTGTCCGTATATATAATAAAAATTTGACCAAATTTTTACAGCATCTAAACACGGCCTAGTAAACATTGGAAGAATAAGACTCTAATTGTGGCGTGGCGCCCTGCAGTCGACGCATGAAAATTAGTAAGGCTGTGTTTAGATTCAGTGGTGTAAAGTTTTAGCGTGTAGACACACATTTGAAGTATTAAATGTAGCCTAATAACAAAACAAATTACAGAATCTGCCTGTAACTGCCAGATGAATTTATTAAGCATAAATATTCCGTCATTAACAAATGTTTACTGTAGCACCGCATTGTCAAATCATGACGCAATTTGGCTTAAAAGCTTTGTCTCGCAATTTACACGCAATATGTCTAATTAATTATTTTTTCGTTTATAATTAATACTCCATACATGTGTCCAAACATTCGATATGATATGGTGTAAAATTTTGACAAGGGATCTAGACAAGCCCTAAGTTAGGACCAAAGTATAAGTGAGATGCTATCTGAACGTGGGCCCACTTAACGTATTATCTTTTATGTAAAAGTAGTAGCGTTTCTGACCGTTTTCAATACTATGTAAAATTTGACTTATCTAATTTTTGTTATGTCCTCATCTATATCTGTTCCAAAGCTATAACGGAATATAATCGAGTTGAAACCATCATCTATAACAGCTAAGCCAAACGTTACTTAGGTTGCGTTTAGATCACTACAACAAAACAAACCAAAGGAGACATCTTATTTGTAAGATAGAGACGTTTTATTTTGTCTCGCACAGATAACTGAGACGCTTTTATAAAGCGTCGTAGGATCGTCTCTGTTTGCACCGTCTCAGAATTATGGAGACGCTTTTTAAAGCGTACCTATATTATTTAAGACGTTGCTAGAGACGTGTAAATTGCATCTCTATAAAATATAGAGACTCTTTTATATAGGCACGCACATCTTAATATATTTGATATTAATGCTTTCATCTGGGCTCGAACACAGCACCTGCAGGTTGCAAAGTTCATGCACTAACCAAGTCATTAACGTGACAATCTTGAAGGTAAATAGATAGTTTTTTTTATATTGCAACTCTGCAAACATGCGTCCTGTAGCGGTACTCTTCTTTTTTAATCTAAGACTGAATATTAAATATTTATTTTTTTTTCCAAATAATTATAATATTATTATAATGGTATTTGATGATGACGATTAGGAACAGTGTGTTTATTTTCTTCTTTTTCTATATAAATAATTATATATTATCTAATAACGATGACACGGATATAATAAAAACGTCTCAAAACTCATTTCTTACACATGAGACGTTCCAAAAACGTCTCAATATTCGTCTCTAAACGATTTAATTTTGTGCTAACATGTAAAGCGTCTTAAACTATGTCCTCAACTAATAAAGCGTCTCAAACATCGTCCCTATTTCAATTTCACTTATAAAAAAGAGACGACTTATAGAATGACTTAAGTGAAACGTCTTAAAACAATGGTTTTGTTGTAGTGGATCTAGGGATGAAAAATTTAAATTTTATTGTGTCACATCGGATATACGGATATACATTTAAAGTATTAAACGTAGTCTAATAACTAAATTAATAACCAAATAAATTACAGAATCCGCCTGTAAACTGCAAGACGAATTTATTAAGCCTAATTAATCCGTCATTAGCAAATGTTTGCTATAGCACCACATTGTCAAATCTTGGAGCAATTGGGTTTAAAAGATTCATCTCGCAATTTAGACGCAATCTGTGTAATTATTTTTTTTTTATATCTAATACTTTATGTATGTGTCCAAACATTCGATGGGATAGGGTAAAAAAACTTATCAGGGATCAAAACATGCCCTTCATTTGTGATCACATATGTAAAGATTTCCCTCCTGACCCCTAAAAGGTACTAAAGATATATGCAGTTAAGCTGGAAGCGACTTGGTAAAAATCTAGGCAAAATAAATGCAGAAAAGATAAATGATTTATGAGATCAGCGATGCGACCAGTGATCCATTTGGTGTTACGTTGCTATTCTAAATACACTATAGCCGATTTATAATTCCAAACAGTAAGGGCATGTACAACCCGTCTCCTCGCCCCGTCTGTGTGTTGATGATTTTGCAAAAAAAACCCGTGCACGCGCAGAGACGGGCAGCCCGGCGCCTCCCGACGTGACCAGTTCATCCCGTTCTCCCAGGTGGAGTCGACGCGAGCCCACGCGCTGTAGAGCGCCGTCGTCCCCAGGCGACGGGCGAACGGATCCCGCGTGCGGCCGCGCTCGCCCACAAATTTCCCAGGCAACCACGCGTGCTGTTCTCCCGCGCTCTGCTCGCGAGTTGCCCCAAATTTCTTCGCCCGCCCATCTGCGCGGCCGCCATCTGCTCGCCCCCCATCTGGTATTCTCGCCGGAGTTGGTGCGGCGGGATGTCCACGCCCGGCGCAGCTTGGAGTAGGAATGGATCGAGGACATTGGATGCGGCGGCGACGGCCCCAGGCCGAACCCTAGGTGTCGGGGCGGCGGCGGCGGCTCCCTCATTCGGTCGGGGTTCTTTTGGTCACGCTGTCGGGCTACCACCGCCGCCCCATTCTCGCGGACGCAGTCACGGGTCAGTAGCGGCAGCGACGACCGTCCCGGCTTTCTCCATTGATGGTTCTGTCGGAGGTGACTTCACCAGCTCAATTGGTCCTCATGCATCGTCTCAACCTTGGTTTGATGCGGCCGGCGGTGATCCCTCATCTCCTGGATCATGGTAAATCCTTGTTTCATTGCTGATTTTGTAGTTGATATTAGGCATTATGAATCTAGATAATTTTGTAGTTGATATTAAGCATTGTGAATCTGTAAATCCCATACTGTTGTACCTGGATCCCTTTTATACCATATTTTAACAATGTCCAGAAGTGATTCATTGAACTCTTTGTTAGATATTCAACTGATAAATGATTATCATAAAAATGAGCCCATCAAGCTTCTGTGTCCAACATATTGTACTCTTTGTTAGTTGTTCTTAAAGAGTAAAAATACCCATCAAGCTTCTGTGTCCAACTGATCATTTTAAGCTAATTTCATATTTTAAGCTAATTTCATGTTAAGCTTCTGTGCCGAAATCATTTTAAGCTAATTTTACCTTCTAACCCTTCATAAATACAGCCACAATAGTACTACTACTGCATCTGAATTTTATTTGTAGATGGACCATAGAAAATTTCATGTTAATTGCAATTTCCTGCAGGGACCAAGATGTACGTCCACACAGGTTGGCGTGAAGCTGTGATCACGTTAATTAATGAACAGCAATTTACAGTATTTTTCCTAGCTAGCTACTGCGCACAGAGACAGCGGTACACCATTGTCGCCAATATTAATGCCTACCACTATCACACTTGAATCAATCAGCTTTGATGCTACACCCCCTCGTGCTAAAATAAATTCATTTATGGGTTTTTTTTGTCCAACGATCGATCGTTTGTCTTATTTGAAAAATTATAAAAAAATTAAAAAATAAATCATGCATAAAGTACTATTTCTGTTTTATCATCTAATAACAACAAAAATACTAATTACAAAAATAATCGAATAAGACAGACAGTTAAACATTGGAAAAAAACACATAAATAAACTTATTATTGGAATGGAGGATGTTGATAAATAAGTGAAGGAATAGTTGATAAATCAGGGATATGCAATCATAGAAACTATACTGTGCTTTGCTAGTTAGTTCAACTTATACAGTAATTGGTAGTATGATTTATTTGAATTAATCTGGTACTTTTATTTGTAGCTTTCTAATTAATGGCTTCGACCGCTACTGTTAATTTTTTTAAAAAAAATTATGAGTCCATTTTTTTTTCCATTCGTAGCTTTCAAATTTACGTGTTCGACCGCTACTTCAAGATTGCACCGATCGGGCATTAAGATTGCGAGTCCAATTTTCAAGTATGCGTCTATCGGGCATTAAGATTGACATTGATACCATCATCAATAGGTTCGCATCTAAAAATCGGAATTTCTAATTAAGGTAATATGCATCAAGTTTCTTACATTACATGAATATTGCTTTTGGATGCTCTTTAATTATTTATTCATGAAGTTTTGTATGCGTACTAGTATATTAATATTAAGTCGCACAACACCCGTGCGTTGCAAGGGGATTTTAATTAAAAAGCTAATATAAACACTTTCAAATAATCATTTTGTAAATAATCATTTTGTGCATATGTTTATTACTGACACGTGTGCTATCTAGCCTAATACTGTCAATTTTTTCCTTTCCAGAGAAGATTGGTGCAGATTGCTACATGGTGGTAGATTTGTCACCGACCAACACTATACTCCCTTTTTAATTAAGGTATATCTAATATGTACTTTCTCCATTCTAAAATATAATAACTACTACTGTTTTAAAAAGCAATATTATATATATTATCGCTTTTATTCGAATATTGGTTCCATCAATAGGCTTTCCACTCATCCCATCCCTTTCCCATATATACCCAATCTCCTCCTAATATAATAAATCAGCCTAACCTATTTCAGTGTAAGAAAATTATCTCAGTAACCCACTTTATACATGGTCACGTTGTAAAAAAAATTACTAGTGGAAAAATATTATCATCATAATAAGATTTTTAATGTTGGTTCATATTTTTTTTCTACCGAGAGACTAACGAGAGACCCAGTGATAAATAATTTACCACGATATATTTTCTACCTGAAGGGGTCAGAGTAATAATTTTTGCATCAGGAGGGGAAGGAGAGGATAGCAAGAGAATATTCGATAAAATTAATACCAAGATAAGTCAAAGTTATGCTGGAAAAGGTGAGAGTAGTAATTCGTTTTTTACATTAGGGGGAGAGGGATTGAAGGAGGCGGGTGAAAACGGTATGAAAATTTTCCAACCGTATCGATACCATTTCCGAAAAACTAATATAAAAATAATAATTTTATCGGTGGTTACTGTTTTCAAAATTTTGTTTTCATGACCGTTTTAAAAGAAATAATAAAATATGATACTGGTCCTGACCATTAATTTCTGACGTTAGAGAGGCTAGCGATAACCAATGTTCGGGTAGATATAAGGCCGTGTTTAGTTTTCCCCTATTCCCAACTTTTCATCATATCATATCACATTAAAAACTTTTCTATACACATAAATTTTCAATTTTTTTTCTAAACTTCTAACTTTCTTCAAACTTCCGATTTTTTTCAGGAACTAAACACACCCTAAGAGTAGTTTTTGTCACATCACCAGGATAGTGCAAGAGGGTAGAGGAGAGGAGGAGAGAACAGTTGGGTGCTACTTGTGCAAGTTTGCTCTTCCAGTTATCCACGGCAACAATTAACTTAAATTTTTTCATAACAATTACATATATACTTTGCAGGAACTGTAGCTAGCAAAATTATCTTCATTTGTAATTATTATCATAGCATAAAACAATTTACCCTACATTACCACGACCAATTACATACTTAAATAAGTTTTCAAAGAATTTACTCAGCTGGAAGTCTACTTATAATAGATTAGTCCATAATAAATAAATATTATCATGATAATAAATATGAATTCCGTTTTACTTATGTCATAAATTATGTGTGCGTGTTTTCATTGCAAAATAAAAAACTAACTATGCATATCTCATACTTCTTTTGTACCAAATTACAAGGGTTTCTATGCGTATCATAAAATGTCATCCCTCCGTCCTAAAATATAAGCATTTTTAGCTATAAATCTAGATAACTGTGTGACTAGATTCATAGTTACAAGTTGTTATATTTTGATATGGAGGTAATATCTGGAACGAGGGATGTGCATATAAATTTTAGAAAACACTTCGAATTCTTTATACTACGGAACGGATGGAGTTCCATAATTTTACCTTTAAGATTACTAACTCGTTCTCTCATACACATTTTGCTCCTTCTAGAACTTCAGTCTTTTAGCAAGTAACAAAACTAATTCCCGTTAAGAAAATATTAATAAAAGATGTGTACTCCCTCCGTTTTATATTGTAAGACTTTCTAGTATTATCCATTCATATAGATGTTTATGAATCTATATGAATGTGAGCAATGCTAGAAAATCTTACATTGTAAAACGGATGAAGTATTTATGTTGGAAATGTACAAACTAAATCTCTTTGAAGTAGATATACAATGTGTAGGGACTTGAATGTTAATTTACAATACTTTAAAATAATGAGTGTGGCCATATAAAACAGGGACTTAAACGGAAAATGTACAATTTGCTACTAATGTTTATTTGGATTATTCTACAAACGTGTGTGACTCCGAACTGTCACATGTATTTGTTTTGTTTTGTTAACTCAAATTTTAAATCGTTCGTAGTAACAATTGAAAATTAGGTGTTAGGTATTAACAGCTCCAATCCACATCATCTATTTATAGTAATGTCATTATCTTAAAAAAATGCAGAGTTAGGTAGTGTCGTTATCTTAAGGTATATGAATATAGAAATATATCATGAGTCACAATTAAATATAATTATCATAGTTGGTATAATTGGATTATCAGAAAACAGATACTCCCTCCATCCCCAAAAGAAAAAAAAACTCAGCTTCTGCCATCTGAATTTTGTCACACAAAAAATCAACTTCGGCCATCCTACCCTCAGCAGATAAAATGGCAAGTTTTATTTTTAAATACCCTTTACCTGTCTATTACCATCACTACTTTTTTCAATAACGAGTGACATTTTAGTTATTTTTTACTCTTCACTATAATTTTACCTTGGGATGCTAGGAATGATGTCTTTTTGATAGAGGGAGTTGATCTAAGGAATAAAACTAAAAAACATACTGTCACCATCATCGTTGCCGCCGCCGCCACCACCACCACCATCATCTTCGCCTTGCGTACATGGCTATCGCACCTATCATTAAAAGTGTAGTTTTGCATTGTTCATATCCAACGTTTAACTATTCGTCTTATTTGAATTTTTTAAGTAGTATTTTTGTTGTTATTAGATGATAATGTAGATAGTTTCTTGTTGTTCGATCCTACAGATAAAACATAAATAGTACCTTACTCCCCTCCGGTTCTATAATAATTGATGTTTTAGACTAGGTTGAGGTCAAACTTTTACAACTTTGACCAACAATAACTTTAAAAATATTTAATTTAAAGAAACTAGATCAACATATATAGATTTATCTTTCAAAACACTATAATAAAAATAAACATGTATTTATTGATTGTATATATTATAATAGAAAAATAAGGTTAAAGATATATTTTGTAGACCATGTCATTGCCCAAAACGTCAATTAAAATGAAACTGGAGGGAGTATGTGTGACTATTTTTTAAAATTTTTCATAAATTTTTCAAATAAGATGAATGGTCAAACGTTGGACCTAAATACCTATAGCTGTACTTATTTTGACACTGAGGTAGTACATGTTAGCATTGTGGCTGTTTTCTAGCGAAATTGCTAATTGGTGCAGACGCGCTGGATAAATATCTAGCGAGTGTTTCAGTTTCGGCCATCATTAGCAAGGCCCAAGGCCCAAGCATACTTCTATCTTCTTTTCATCCGGCAGCGCCGGCGCATGCACGTGCATATGTGCTAGTATAGGAATCGAGGCAAAGAGGCAGTACGGCATGTGAGGCAAATCAATCTACAATGTGACTACTGTTATAATTCTTCATTATTAGTTCTATTTTTTTAATTAGGTAACGTGATTAACATATGCACTCATATATGAAAACTTTCAACCCCTTTTTTTAAACATTCAGCTCAAATTTGAAAATTTCAACTCAAAACATTGAAGCTTTCAACCTAAAATTTGAAGCTTTCAACTCAAATTTTTGAAAACTTTCAACTGAAAATTCAAAATTTTCGTCTGAAATGTCAAAACTTTCAAACCCAAATTTTAAGACTTTCAAGCCAAATTTTGAACTCGAATTTGAAATTTTCAACTCAATTATTTGAAACTTTCAACCTGAATTTTAAAATTTTCAATTCAAATTTTCCAAAACTTTCAATTGAAAATTAAAAACTTTCATCCGAATTTGCAAAACTTTCAAATCAAAACTGAAAACTTTCAAATCCAACTAAAAATCAATTCCAATTCTAGAACTTTCAAATCCAAAATTCAAAACTTTTAATTCCAAGTTTCAAAAGTTTCAACTCTGAATCGAATTTAAATATTCATGTTAGCTAGTATTTATTATCGTTAATCATGCGATTAATGCAAATCACATTATTAGCATCAGCAGGAGGGGGCAGCTTACACGGGTTGATTGGGGGATTTTTATTTTTGTCACCAACAAGAACGGGAAACTCGCAAAAAGGGAAACGAGAAATCACCAATTACTAGTCTGCTCCACGCTCTGGCGACATGATCTTTTCTGGCGCGCGCGCGCGCATTAGGACGAGATTGCTAATCCGCGCAGACGCGCCAGATTAGCAAGTCGCGCGCGTTTTGACCCCGCCTCGTCTCACGCATAGATTTTTTTTTCGTCTTATCCCCTTTTTATCTTTTCCGTATTTTTTTTCTTCTTCCACATCAGGCGTTGGAGGTTAAGCACATGGACCAGTACGCGCGATTAGCACTAATAATGGTGCTAAGCATATAGATTAATCTAATTATAGATTTTATTATCAAAATAATATATAAATAGTTAAGTTGAAAAAGTTTCAGAAATATGATGAATTTTTTCAAAATTTGAGTTGAAAGTTTTCAAAAAATTGTCTTGAAAGTTTAAATTTCGAATTGACAGTTTTGAAATTCGAGTTGGAAGCTTTCAAATTCAAGTTGAAAGTTTTCAAATTTGAGTTAAAAGTTTTCAAGTTTTGACTTAAAAGTTTTCAAATTTGAGTTGAAAGTTTTCAAGTTTTGACTTGAAAGTTTTCAAATTTGAGTTGAAAGTTTCAAGTTTTGACTTAAATGTTTTTAAAATTTGAGTTGAAAGTTTTCAAATTTCGGGCTGAAAGTTTTCAAATTCGAGTTGAAAGTTTTCAAAATTCGAGGTGAAAGTTTTCAAAATTTGAATTGAAAGTTTAAATTTTGAGTTGTTTTAAATTATGGGTGTGACTTTTAATTGCAGAAAGTTTCAAATTTCACGTAAATCTTTAGTAAAAAAGAAACAACCTCGTGAAAAAGAGGAAAGATTAATTAACACAATAATCAGAAAAGTAATTACGTAAAAGCTACTAATCCAGCGCTGCGGCACACCACGTTCGCAAGTCTCTCCACTATTTTCTTGTGTCGAGAAAAAGGGAAGTGGGCCGTAACGAAATCATGCGCGAGGACGTGGGCCAAAACGCACGCTAGATCTCTAACCAGCGTGTCTGCGCTAATTAGGAATCCCCGCATTAGGAGCCCCCGTTTTCTAGAATTTTTGCTAACTTCTACTCCCAGCGTGTTTAAGTGTTGATATTATTGACCTTTTGGCTGATGTTAAATTGTTCGTTTTTGTTTGATGAATTTTTGTGCTAAAAAATTCATAGAAAAAATAATAAATTGTTGGGCATTTAATTTTATACGTGAATATTATTTGCAACCCAATTTTACTAAATACATTAGAGATGTGTCTATGACGTGTGGGCCCAGAAAAATTCAAATATCACACGATGTCCGAATATAATCAATATTGGACTCGTTTTGTTGTACATTTCAAATAGAAAATAATGGTTCGAATAGAATTCAAATTTGATGCAAAATTGAAGAGATATCTAAAGTAATGAAAAAACTAAAGTTGTTCATCACCTAGATGTGCCACGTCATGGGAAAATTAGAACCGTTGGATGCAGCCAGATATTAAACAACAGCCGATGGTTCTCAAAATAACCAAAGTAAAAAGCTTGGTCAAGGGACTTCGGAAGTCAACTGGAAGACTCGTGAATCCACCACGGTAATATCCGAAGACCCACCAATATTAAAAGCCCACGTGTCCAGCATAATATATAGGGCATCACGGATATAGCCCAAAATAAAAGAATAAGTCGAATTTCATGGATACCTCTTTTAATGAACGAAGAATGTTTATTTCTTCCATCATTGAGCCAGGTATACTTATATAGCATAAACCTTTGGATTTGGTGTGAACGGTTGGATTAATAATGAAGATCGATCGTAGGAAGAGTCAGGAGACTTCCATCGGAGAGATGAAACAGAAAAGACAAAAGTAATAAAAATCCATTCATGGGGTACCGTCACGTAAGAGAAATAAAAAAACAACACAGTTAAACTTAATTAAAATAAAAGCTACTACTACTAAATACTCCCTTCATTCCAAAATATAAGGCACAACCACCCTTAACCCAAAGACCAAGAAATAATTATTATCATTTTATAGTTTGGATCATCATAATAAATACTAATGCATGCATCCAATAGGATTAGACAACATGAGAGTGGAGGATTTAAAAAATAATAATTTAATGAAGAAGGTGTCATGGTTAATTGCATGCTTGCATGTATGTCTTATATTATGGAACATCTAAGAAAAGTGGTTATAACTTATATTATGGAATGAATGGAGTAATAGTAAAAAGAGCACTATAATAACTCAAAATAAATCATCGTATTCTTTGCCCACCTAACAACATTTAAATATCTTCCGCTAACAACATGGTACTCTAACTCCTAATATTATCACAGCCTATATCTTCTATGTGTAGTTAGTATATAATACCTGTAAATCTCACTCTTTGGCAAAACTTAAATATAGTAGTTCCAATAGCTGTAATTACCTAATTAAATTCTAACATATATAATTATTACAAACGATACGCATTTAAAAATGCAAGTCATAGTCCCAATTATTATAGATCTAATTACCTAATTAAATTTTAACATATATAAATGATCGGATTTGCTAGAAAACTTCCACAAATTTTTTGCCCCTGAAACTTTCAGATTTGTCACCATCGGATCGCCTCGAAACTTTTGTATGAAGAAAAAAAATTGTTACAACTAAATTTTCACATATGTCACGTCTAACCAAATCATAGTTAAATACAAGTTTTATATAAGTTATATCGTAGTTACTAATATAATTACAGTGTACTTACAATATAATTATAGTACTTCAATTATAATATACTTACATATCAAAGTTTTTGACTCAAAAAATTTACGATATTCTTTTGTACTCCCATAAATGATACTTACCGTTACCGTTACATATAAAAGTGCAAGTCATAGTCGTACGAATGTACGACTTAATTGGCTAGTACGCTTGAAAAGAGAAGAGATCAACTAGTACTAGCAGTATACCCATTAATCGGTTTGTTACTTCACCGGTGGGTAATTATCACTGGTAACAAAATCAAATAAGACGTGGGGCCCACCGTCATCAGCCATGTTAATCTCAGTGATTATCTCCAACACCAGCAACTCTATCCGCATGCATCAGGTGGCCGGCATCTGCATGCGTCGCACTTATCTGCAGTAGCAGATCGATGAGGCCAAAACAGATTATGCGTTATCACGCTCGATTCGCGGAGGATTAGCGAGGCCGTTGTGGTCGTCGCTGCCTATATAAAGCAGTTGACCCCTCGTCGCGGCTGGGGGGAAGAAGAGGAACACACGGCACAAGTGCTGCGCCATTAAGCAGCAATATGCCCTAGAGAGGTTCACACATGCACCCACGTATATTCAGAGAGAGATCAGAAAGAAGATGCACGCCCATGGCGCAAGTCGCGGATCAGCGATCTGCAGTCGCCGGTGCTGATGGCATCTCTATCGGTGAGTCCTCAACAAGAAGCCGATCCCGTTCTCCGTCAAGCTGCTTATCCAAGATAACACAACAACGTCGTTGTGCTGTGCAGATATTATGCATAGCCAGGCATTATCTCCTAGAGGGAGCAAATATACACCGTAGTGTTGTGCAGTTGCGCAGCTCGACCGGTAAAATAGTAAAGTGGAGCACTGATGAATAAGTCGTGGATGTGTTGTGAACTTGTAGCCATGGATATAAATATCCCCAGCGGCGCATGCACACGCACACGTTATCTTTGTCAAGCGATTAATATGAGCTACAAATAAATACAAGGCGAGCCTAACCTTCGTGAGGGTTGGACCGTCTAAATTATCAATATCAAATATTGGATGTGGATATTTATTTATATAAACTTGGGATGAGTTTGAGTCTTATTGGCATCAGACCAACCATGATTTATACATATTTATATTCATGCCGGATGAGTCACATATTGCCTCGTGCTTTATATTCATGCCGGATGAGTCACATATTGCCTCGTGCATGTCATGTACAGGAGCAATTTCTTCCCTCTCCAAATTCTACCGGATGGACGGGAGAGCAATTCCTACAATTCTCGAAGACAGGCATTATTCGCTAAATAAAATAACACTAGCCATGAGGGCGAAGCGTGTAGATTTAAAACACACGTCGACATCTTGGCCGAGTGTCGACAAGATGAAATGGCCAATTTATCAATATTTATGCTATGTCCGAGACCGACGAGGCCGGGCGACGTATCGGCTAAAGCTAACAAGGCTACAGCTATTCATTCATTTCATTTGTCTATGACCGACGAGGCTAGACGAAACCATGGCCGAGTGCCGACAAGGCCAGGTCACTATACTATTAACACGTCTAAAATGGATGGGAACCGGATGCACCGTTGCTAGGCACCAACGAGGCAAAAGCAACCATAAAATCCATGTTTGATGAAGGCCGGGGTCCATGACTGGGCACCGACGAGGAAAGGTCACCCGCTTCACCAAATTCTCTCCACACTCCGACGTGGTGGTAGTGTACTGTGACCGGGTTTTGGCGAAACAAAGCAACCCGTTCCACATTCACTATATTCACCGTTAAATCTGCACCAACCTCAACCTTCGGCGAGCAAACAACTTTGAAGACGACGATCATAAAGCGCAGCTTAATCGGAGGTATTCCATAGGCTCGTCCTGTGGATGTAATTAACCAGTAGCCTCATTGCTAGGCGTCGGGAATCAACGGACTTCACGCAATCTCCAGTCAGCATACCTTTTCATTAAGCATTCCTCGCGAAGGCAAAAGGCGAACTCCTGCGGGAGCCCTCATGTATTTGTAAACATTCATGTTAATGAATCATAATTAATAAAATACAGGGTTTCCCTATTTTCTGTGTGTTCGTTGTTTTGTTTTCATCAAACAGTTTTATTCCAAAATTCATACACATATAGAAAGACAAGCCATGCTTAAATGATAAAATAACTCACAGTAAAACAGTTAATATCTATATAGCTAGTCTTCTCATAAATTTTAGGCAAAATTTGATACAATACACTTAAATTTTGTGTAATTTGCTGGTAGAAATCTTAAAAATGTGCCACGGAAAAAAGACACTCTAAAACCTAATAATTTGCTAGATGGCACTTTTGTCTCAATTGGAGAGATCAATTCTTCAAAAATACGAGAATGCCCCTAGAGTCAAAAGATTTTGAGCTAGGGCTGTGGAGTAAAAATGTAATATGATGTATATATGCTAATGACGTAATTGGGGTGATGGAAAATTTAGAGTTACATAATTTCTAAAATTTTATTTTAACACCATGTTTGAAACTTGGACCAGCATTTTCTCGTCTTTATTAAGACTTTATCTCTCCTATTTAGTCATAGGTGTCCTCTAATAAATTATTATTTTTTTAGATATCTTTCAGCGATGACACTTTTTTCAATGTCTATCAGCAAATTATACAAATTTTGAGTGTTCTGTAGCAAAATTTGTCTAACTTTTACATAGTATTCTAATGAAAAGAAATTAAAATGGTCATATAGAGGGCCATACATAGCGATATTTGTCCTCAGCCAAGTGCTACTAACTGGCCACGAGGCCCACGACTAGAAATGGCAATGGAGCCCTGTTCACCGTTTCCCCGCGGTGAATTCACCTATTAGGTGACGGGGATGGTTAATATGTATTCACCATGGAGTCTAAAATGGTTACAAACCTCTCACCATCAGGGATGAGCGTCCCCGCCCCCGCGGTGACCCGACTTTACTGTACAGATGACTAATTCTAGACTTTTTAGATGTTTTGGCCCATAATACAAAAGCCCATTTAATAGGCATATATAAAATCTAACCCTAAGTCAACAGGTCAAACTCCAAATCCCCACCCAAAATTCCAAATCCTCCAGATCCGCACGGCTGCATGCTCGTGCCAGCCACCACCGTCATCCGCTAAACCGCTAGGAGCCGCCGTCTCACCGCCGTGCACCGCTAGTCCGCCAGCCACCAGGCGCGCCGCGCTCGCTGCCATCTCTCGCGCAGCGCGGGCGTCCGCCGCTGGGAGCCGCCGAGAGATGCCATGGACTGAAGCCGTCGTCGCCAGCAGCCTCCGTTGATGCGCCGCCGAGCACGGCGCCTACAGTCGTCTTCACCGGGAGCCGCCGACAGCCTCCGTTGATGCGCCGGTGGGCACGGCGCCTACAACCGTTTTCACCAGGAGCCGCCGGCAGCCTCTGTCGACGCGCCGCCGGGCGCGGCACCTACAACCGTCTTCACTCTTCACTAGGACTCTGGGAGCCACCGTCATCATGCCGCCGAGAGCTGCCATCGACGTCCGCCAGCGCCCTCCGTCGTCACTTGCCCGCAGCCCTGCACGCCGTTCGCCGCCAGCACGCCATCCACCGACCATGGCTTCGGTCTCTCCCCATATGACTGTGAATATGTTGTTTAACTGGGGATGGGTTCACCACGGGAAAAATTCACCGCGTGGTGATCGGGGCTGGAGAAATTGTAGCCTCGTCGTGGTTGACGGGGGCGGGGACGGTGAAAAGATTTGACCGCGGTGACAGAGACGCGGATGTGACCCCTGACGGTGAATTCACCGTTGCCATCTCTACCCCCGACACATATAGATCGACACGTGATTCAGTATAAACATGGGTGTACACATATATGTCTATAGTTCTCTTTCCGGTCGAGAAGAAAACAACGTTTTGGAAATTGAGACAGTCTATAGACCATTATATTGCAAAATATTTAAAACTTAAAAGAAACCTGATGGAATTCAGACATCATGAGAGCGCCCTTTGAGATAAATTAATATACAGATATGAGTTTTATTCATCTTACATAAAATATTTGAAACATATTGTTCTCCGAAGATTATTATTTTTTATTTATTGAAGCGTTTGCAAAACACAATTAATCATATAAACCTGGTTGGGGTCGTACCAGCTAGTGCAAATCAAGGTGCACTTCTTCTTGTTTTTTTATTTTTTTGAAACATATCAAGGTACGCTTCAACTTATTTACCGTTTACTAATAACCTGTGAAATGTGGTGGTCAAGGTTCGAAGCAAAAATTCTTCATGTTGGGTCAAATTACCTGGGTTTCTGTGTGGGCTGAACACTTTGGCCCCATGGGCTAGAATGCTGGACAATCTAATGGGCTAGTCGACCTATCTGGCTCGATCGGTAAGTTTAATTTGTAGCCATGGATCAGCCAAGATGTGATCTAGCCCATGGTTGAGTTTTTTTTTTCTTATGCATTTTATTGATTATAGATAACCAGACACATATCGCATGAGTTATCCTTAGTGAGAAGTCAACTGCAAGTACAAGCAGTTTTGCATAAAGGCCTCTTGAAGATGGCCAAATTGACATGAGCTCATGAAAATTGCTATGGACGACTTCTAAAAAACTAGAAAAAGCAATCAAATCCTTCTCTTCTCCACCAGGTTGCAAGCTTGATCCGTAGCGACGACGGTGATGAAGAAACAATGAGTAGTTGCTGATGAAAGTGCAAGGAAGCATACCCAAAAGAGGTCTCCGCTAACTTATTACTCCATCCGTCCTAAAATATAGATATTTTTTAGATTGGTATGAGTATTAAGGAAGTAGGTGAGAATGATGGGTGGATGTGCGTGATTAGTTAAAAAGAGAAAGAAGGTGAAGAAGAATGGTTATGATTGGTTGAGAGGAGGAGATAGGAGGAGAAATAGTTTTATTTTAGGACAAGAGACACTGTGCTAGAAATGGCTACATTTTGGGACGGAGGTGATAACTTCTCTATGACGAAGGAAGCTTCCATGATAAAACAATAAAAACTCAGCTTCCCTAAGAAGATGCACGGTCGTTGATGAAGGAGGCTTGCATTGTGTTTAACTCGCCGGAGATGAACAAAATGGTCAGCGCAACATTTTGTGAAGCAAACTTGCTTTACTTCTAGTTGGGGGCGTCCATGGCAAATCTAGAAACCATTCCATGGATAGATTTGGCCGGATCCATGGAAAAGAACTGGGAGAAGAGAAATGTGACGCCGGTGAAACCTTGCACTAACAAAAGCACCAAAGAAAAAGAGAGAACAAAGAGGAAAAACACACTACGGTAAGAACCCAACTATCTAGATCTAGACCCCTTCCCCCATTGTCGGTGAGGAATTGATGGAGGAAATTAAAGGGTCCGAACGGAGAGAGAGGAAGAAGTCGCCATTTTTTCGCCCGGAGAGAGGACACCAAGAGAGAGAGAAAGGCTCCTCCCGCTATCGTAGTCTGATACCCCTGCGGTTGAGTTTCAATGGACAATATTGATCACTATGTCCATGGGTTTGCAACCAAATCTTTTTTGCATCAAGGTGGTTCTTCCTCGATGCCTCCGATTCCCATAGCCTTATTGAATTGCTCATCAGGAGCTGCACTATTGCAAAATCAATCGCAGTATTCTACTCCCTTTAATTGCCAGGATAAATATTGTAGGAAGAGCGGAAGAAAGATATAACTTGTCCCCTTTTATCCGGGCTAAAAACTACGTATTTGGTCCGGGAAGAAAATCAGCTATATATATTTAGTAGTCATATGATGCTAGTAGAACTGCACAATTCGACTTGCAACTTTGCAAGTGCGAGAGCAAGTGTGAGTGATGAAGAGGTGGAACACAACCACCTCTACCTTGGTATATTATATGATGATAATTAATCTCTTGGTGATTAATCTATTGGTAAAGAAAAGTGTAGTAATGTAGTGCACTTACCAAGAAATTAAATATTGTCATTAAATATTGGCTATAATACTTAGCAAAATACTCTCTCCATTCCAAAATATAAGGCAAAACCACCCTTAACCCAAAGACCAAGAAATAATTATTATCATCTTGTAGTTTGAATCATCCTAATAAATATAATGCATGCATCCAATAGGATTAGATAACATGAGAGTGGAGGATTTAAAAAAGTAATAATTTAATGGAGAAGATGTCATAGTTAATTGCATGCTTGGAACATCTAAGACAAGTGGTTGTGCCTTATATTATGGAATGGAGGGAGTATGAAATACAAATTTTCTGGCGAACTTGTTCAAGGAAAGTGTGTGTGGCAGCAATTGTGCATAGGATATATTCCCTAATTTAAATTCATTTATACAAGATGGATGTAAGGTGATTGCACTGGGAACAGATTTTGTTTTGGGTACAATCTTGATATGCATTTACTGAAACAATAACAAAAATCCAAAAACAAAAAAAAAATAATTAGGAAGAGATACTAACTTTCAGAATATGAGAAAAATTGAAGCATTAAAAGAATTTCTAAGACCAGTCCTCTTCAGTGCTCATGGCTGCATCACCTTCCTGACTTCCTCTGAGCTCGGAATGGCAGATCACAATTCTGCCTCTCTGGTGCTTCGTACGCCAGATTGATTATTATTTCAATAGAAGATTACATAACATGGCAAGGAAAAACGTAATCACCACAAAATTGACACTATCAAGTGTGACCAAAAGAAATTTCCCTGTTGCCATTCATTCTCAAGGTTAGTTGAGTCCACATCAGGAGCAGAACGATTATATTATCACAATGGCTATGGATGAAAGGAGAAGATATATATAGACAGGAAAGAAGCTATGAAGAAATGATGCATAGAAAAATTCAGTGTATTGAATTGATACCCGTTTTTTTTCTGGTATGTGTCTGTCAAAAGCAATTGTAGCTGTTTTTTTTTTGTTTTTTTAAAAAAGAATTTATGCAGTGAACAATGAATTCATACAGACTAGTTTTATTCCTCTTGTACAGGTTCAATAACAATTCTTTGTGGGTACAAACATTTCAGTTCAGCATTGTAAATACAGATGTGCTGATAGAAAATGTTTATTCCAAAATAATAGCGGGGAAAGTAACTCGCAAACACAGGAAGCAAGTGCTATTTTTCAAAAGGGCCTGACTTTGCTACAGCATCTGGAGGTACATGGACAAATTCACAATCATTCAACTCTCTAGTTCTGAAAGAATCCATTGGCTTCAAGATATGACACTACTTGATCAGCCATTGATTTAGGTGAAGGGCAGTCCCCAACTTTGCACTGTATCACAATCTGCAAAGAGTAATTCAAGGTCACAATCAGAGAAGTTACAAATCATCCTCATAATTTTTTTTATTTTGGAATCTTTTCTCAGAGTAGTACTGATACTGATGTTTTTATTTTATTGAGAAGCTGATGTTAGTATGAATATGAAAGATATTTGGCTAACCTCACAATCTGAAGGTGTTTCATAAGGATCATCTATTCCCGTAAAGCCTGCATGCATGTAATTTCCTCAGTAAGCATTGCAAGTAATAATCAGAAAATTGCAATATGTTTACTTTTACCTTTGATTTTGCCGGCACGAGCAAGCTTGTACAGGCCTTTTGGATCCCTTTCTTCACATACTTCAAGTGGGACATTCAGGAACACCTGAAGAAATGTACTTAATACTTATCAGATATATCAAATATTCAAATAGAACAAGGAAGCATTCTCACTTGTTTACATGGCAATTTGAATTTTGCAGCAGATATACCTCAATGAACGAAGAATTGGGTAGTAATTTGCGGCAGGCGCTTCGATCACTCTTATAGGGTGATATCAAACTAGTAATGCAGATCAATCCAGCATCTGCAAACAGCTTTGCCACTTCTCCTACAAAGCCAGACATCAACATTGCTGTAATTTTTCACTGAAAACACCTACAGAAAAATGATCATCCAAGGCGAGATTTTGGAACCGAACAGACCAACTCTGCGTATATTTTCGGCACGATCCTTGGCTTTGAAGCTGAGATCTTTGTTCAGGCCGTGCCGGAGATTGTCGCCGTCAAGAACATAGGTCAGATGCCCTCTTGAGTGCAGCTCACGGCTCAGTGCACATGCAAGGGTGCTTTTTCCTGAAGTTGATTTTGAAGTTTCTTCAGATATCTTAGGTTCAGAGTTTTCAGATATGACAATGAAGGCCGGTGAGAATTTTCAGAGTTCTTAGATGCATACCTGAACCACTTAGGCCAGTGATCCAAACAACACAGCCCTTCTGGTTCAGCAACTTTTGTCTGTCAAGCTGGTTTACTGGGCAGTCATGCCATCGGATGTTTGTTGATTTACCGACAGTTGAGGTCATGAGCTTGTTTAAAACTGGTAATTTAACATCACAATAATATTATTGGAATGTTGAAAGCTTCTTGAATAGGCTGATGCAGGAATTTACCAGAGAACTAGATTCCTTTTAGAAGATTTCAGTAAACAATATTACTATTCTGAAATCTGAATCATATTTGGCATATGGCATTATAACAAACATGATTTCTCTTCACTGAAACATCAAGAGAAGCTGAATCCTATACTATTACACTATTATGTTTGCAATTTTCCATCAACAGGAGTGCAGTAAAGCTTGCAGAATAGAAATTCTCTAAAAAGTTTTGTGCTGCACTTCTCAGAAATCTGAAATCTGAAGTGATCAGCCAACCTTGAAGAGGACTGACAATCATGTGCAGTTCTCAATACCTGAACATTCCTAAGACAACTCAGTATGAGAGAGCCTACCAGTGCCGAATATATAAAGCATATCATCTGCAGTTTGTCAGTGACTCCTACTTCTAGGCTGTGTTTAGTTCAGCGCAAAGTTTGGATTTTGGTTGAAATTGAAGATGATGTGACTGAAAAGTTGTGTGTGTATGACAGGTTGATGTGATGGAAAAGGACAGAATTTTTGATCTAAACTTTGGATCTAAACACAGCCCTAAGTTCTACCCTAAGTTCCAACAGACTTCACACTGTTGGACATGACAGATTCAGAAATCAACAAGACAGAATTCAGATATTCAGAGGACTATGGTGTCAATACTACTCCCTCCATTTCCAAATATATCCAGTTCTAGATTGGCTAGGAGAGATTACAGTTTAAGAAAAAAAATACTATAGCATCCCTTATTAAATGAGGGGTGGTTGGTGTTGATGTAAAAACCAAATTTGGTCGTTAACAGTTGGGAATAAAAATAAGAGAATTTTGTACGGGAGTTAAGTGATGAGACACATCAATACTACAAATGATTATATTATTTTTATTTGAGAAAGGATAGAGTAACAAGTAAGTACCTCTGACTTTATTTTTCGAACTTACCCATACATTCCAATACAAAGGCAAAAAAAAAAAAAAGAATGCCCTCCACGTTGACAACCCTAAATGCAATTTATCTCTACTTTAACAAATCTAATACTATTGTCCCCTATTTTAACAAACCCCAATCTATTTGTCTCCTACTTTCATAAATTTCAATATAATGCTTGCTTAAAAGATGAATTTATTTTGAGATAAATAAGATGGTGAAAGATGAAGTTGTTTTGGGACAGATGGATTATATTATATGGGCCATGCGTGGCACGTGCCAGAAAATACAACATAACATTAATTATCTGATGGGATCACAAAATAGGTACAGCATTTATTAGGATTTCATTTTCTTCTCAGGTACTTCAGCAAAAGTCATTTTCAGTCATGCACAAAAAGGGAAATCCTGTAGAGAGAATAAATGAATTGTCCGTACGAATATGGCAAAATATGTGTTGCGGTAGGTAGTAGCAAAATGGATGATAGGTATGTTTTTGGGTAGTTTTACTCAAGTAGTACAATTACAAGTAATTACTTGCTTGACTTTTGGATTGGAATCCCATATATCACCACCTTATCCTTTCTTTTTTTTTTGCGAGGACCCGTATATAATTTCTAACTAGCAATAAAACGGCGAATTTTAAAATGAACTTATATGCATGTGGTTTTACCCATATCTGATATATATGTACTATTTTTACCATGCCAGTACATATATTGCCACCTTATCCGTTCAAAAGTATGCACTAATTTTTTTTACCATGACAGTATATATTTTCCCGATATAATATAGTAATGTAGAGCACATCATTGCCACAAAAACTCTTTTTTATAAGCAGTAATGATAACTATTAGGCCCGGTTTGTGGTTATTGTAGAAACAAAAATATAAAACTATTGTACGATATATTATCATCCAACTACTGTGCTTCAAACAATCACTCTATCTTTTATCAACACGATAGTTCAGTCATATCTATATATATAGGACAGCGGCTATAGAATAAAATAAATGCATTTAGCTAAGCACCCAAGCATCGAAACGTATTTGAACTAATTAAGCAATATTTTTTTATCTCATAATCCACCGGAATATCAACGAACCGAAAAAAAAAGTATGATACTAGAGCTTTAATAAAATTAAATGCAATTCGTGCACCTTGATAATCATGTGGTCTGTACATAATAAAAGAACAGGTTGATGTCATTCCATTGTTTTAAAACTAAACATGTACTTTTGAATTATATATATTTTACGCTGTACATTTCTAATTAATTTGTATGCCAAGAAAATTATTAATCTCTGCGCCCAAATTAGCTAAACGAAATGTCTCAGCTTGAAAAGCCGAATTACCTACTGTAATAAACATTGAACTGAAGCTCTTGAGCTCTAAAGGTTCGGATTTATTTATTTCCACTATTAAAAAAATGCTCCCTCCGTTTCAGGTTATAAAACGTTTTAACTTTCATCAAACTTAAACTGCTTTAAGTTTGAACAAATTTTTTAACCCAAGATAAACTTAAACATTTTTAACCCAAGATAAATTTATTATGAAAATGTATTCGATTATTGATTAAATGAAACTAATTCGGTATTATAAATATTACTATATTTGTTTATAAACTTAGTCAAACTTTGACCAAAATCAAAACGTCTTATAATCTGAAATGGACGGAGTATAAGCTAATGAAACTAATTAAATGTGATGTCAACATTAATCAAAGCAAATTAAACTAATCACTGTGCAAATCGGAACAAATCCATTTATATATTGAAATAATATATATCACCTGGCAACACATCGTCGTCGTCCTTCCCGTCGACCGGCGCCGCCGCCGGCACGGCCGCCTCCGACCGGCCAGCCTTCCTGTCCCAGCTGCTTCCGGCCGCCGCCGCCGTCACGACGCTCATTGGCCTCGCCGCTGCGACGAGCCTCACGCCGGCAGCTACTCCTCCCCACGGTGGCCTCAGTACCCCTCCGGCGAGGCGGCCATCGGCAGCAGCCGCCGGTGCACGGCGGCCGCCGGCGCCGGAGCACGGGATGGGGAGATCCCTGGCAAGCATGGGTGGTGACTGGTGACCGGCGGCGAGTGCTATGTGCACGAATGCCCTGCCTTAATTATATAAAATTCGCTATGTGCAAAGCTATTTATAGGATGGTGATGCCGATAAATACAGGTTAATCACATCACCATTATTATCCACCAAGCACGATACTCGTGCTCTCTACTGATAGTATCGTACTACCAGTAAAAATAATATGTATTGTTTGTTATTAAGTGTAAATTAGTAATTTAAGTAATACAGTGATTAAAGGTAACTTTATCATTTATCATTTATGTTTTTTTTATGTCTAGATTGATTAGTGGTCATCCATTCCTCTAGCGTCGCCGATCGAAAATTGCCAAAAAGAACAAAAGAAAAAAAGTTTAGTTACTGCTAAATAATAATTATATCTCTCCACACCTATTTCTTTTAGCCAATAATATATCTTCACATTTCTATTACCGTTAACTAGCTTGCTACTAGTATAAATAGATATAAACCTTCCGATCAAATAAGATCAATGGTTTACATTGCTTTCTACTACTAAGAAGTAGTTGTGTATTTAATTTAACCATCAACATTAGATTTGGACATTGATACAGTCCATATTGTTTTTACAAATATATTGAAAATATAACGAAAGCATTTTTTTTTCATGATAAATCTATTCTAGTAATATCATCTTCACATATTGAATTCTACGACGCCATCTATTTATCTTATTTTGGACTGTGTGTGTCTCGCAGTAAGTGTTGTTGTTACGGTTGGGAATGGAGTTGAAGGTCATCTCTATAGTTTGCAGCGACATGATATTCATTGTCATGACATTCTTTTTCTTATTTTTTTTCGTTTTTTCTCAATACTTGCAGGTTGTGTACACACTCACTATACAAGGTCGAGAGTGGTCTTAAATTAATTGTAGCATTTACGTGTCGTTGTCTGAGATTAATAAAGCTTATTTTATCTTAAATAATACTTCCTCTGTTTCACAATGTAAGTCATTCTAGCATTTCCCACATTCATATTGATACTAATGAATATAGATAGGTATATATGTCTAGATTCATTAGCATCAATATGAATGTGAGAAATGCTAGAATGACTTACATTGTAAAACGGAGGGAGTACATCTTCAACGCGAAGTATATTTGAAGACGAGTAGTAAAAGGTGTCACTCTCTTAAAATTTAATAGAACTAACCGTACCATTTTTCATTGTTTGAAGCAATTCAATGAAGAGAGAAAGCTTACTAAGCAGTCAAACTTCTAATAAAGGATTTGAGACTACATATACATTTATTGATAAATTTTCCTCCATAAATTTGATAGATATTATTATAGTACAATTATAATATAATTACGTTGTAACTACAATATAACTAAAAATCGCTTTGTAACATGCTATTTCCGTAAAGCAAACGTCGTGAGACTTAATCCTCTCTTGTGTGCGCGCGCTTTGATTCTTTTCTTGCTTGCTTGCACAAATCTTAAAACAAATCTAATGATTCAAAATTATGTGAAAGTTACATACAAGTTATATTTTAATTACATATAAGTTACAATGTAATTACACTAGATTGTACTATAATTACATCCATAAAATATTTAGGATAAAATTTGTTAATAAATATATACTTCCTCCGTCCCACTCACTATGGTGCGCACGCGTTTTAAAATTCAACTCTTTAAATATTTGATCAATAAATATTTTATTATAGATTAAGTTTTATTTGATGAAAATAATATCATGTCATGTAAATTTACTTTTATATGATTATAATTTTATTGCTAGAAATATTATAGCATACGAGTAATTTGAAGTCAGATATTAGTTTTGAAGACTATGCTCTTGGTGAGTGGGACGGAGGGAGAAGCAAAATTGTAAAGGATTAGTGTGCATTTTTGGAAGCTTTCAAACTTCTAAGAATTGTTCCCACTCATGACTTCATCCTGTCCAGAGCTAACTATATATATTGTGGACAGATTCAATGAACCTGAATGAATTCCAATATATATAAGTTGGGAGCCTTTCTGTAAGCACCAATGAATTCCAACTTTCAACAAAAAGGGGAACTGGCTGCTTTTGAACACTATTGTTCACAAGAAGTGTACATTCCCTTTTTTTTTCCTGGTATGAACTCTGAACATGTACATATGGTTCATGCTAAATGCTTTGGCCACAAAATATCTGACAAGGTCTCCTTCCTGTTTACTATTAGTGCCTAACTCTCGCATTGATCATGGTTGTTTAGGTAGTTATAGTGTCGGTTGAGGAGATGTTCTCAGATACACTGATCAATTAATACCATAGTTAATTTATCGTCGTGCCAACAACAGAAAATATTTAATGGGAAGAAAGATATATAATTGATGCCACGCCCATGGGATGCCGAAGATTAATTTAGAATATTTTCCATCGATATATATATATACGATATTTTATTTGGTGCATTTTCTGCTTCCTGATCAATGTTTCGAGGTTGTTGGAATCAACGGTGTTTGAGCCCTCCACGTAGGCAAGTACTATATATCCAACCTCCATGAAATCGATCTCTATCCATTACATTGATATTTGATATACGTAGGCGGTGGTGCGGCTCCCCTGCCCTCCCTCTCCCTCTCTCTCCTAGATCTGGCGGAGGGGCAACGGCGGCAGCGCGGCCAGATGGGGGGAGGGTGGCGTTTTTTTCGCCTAAAACAATTTCGCAAGCAGGTGGCTATAGCGTTTGTGAAGATGGAGATACTGTCTGCAAAAATCATTTTCGCAGATGGAACTAATATCCGCCTACAAAAGTCGTGTATTTTCGTAGGTCTTAAAGTGCAGGCGGAGTGGATAGCAAACTAAAAAAATCGTTTTGGACCGTTTGTAAAAATGGTTTTTGATGTCGCAAACCAATATGGACATTTAGTTTGATCGGAAGATCATTCTATATGTGTACATTTCAAGTAGAAGGTGAAAAGAGAAATGACATGATTTACAGTCTACGGCTTGCACCTTTTAATTTTTTTCCTGTCAATGTGACATTTGTACTCCCTCTGTTTCCAAAAGAATATGATGTATTATTAAAGTGTGTAACATCCTAAATATAATTAAGCATTAAGCTTTCTTTCTTTTGTCATAGTCTAATTATTTACATATAAAATTATTATATTGGTCAAGGTTACAAATGATATATACTACTACCTCTGGCCCACAAGGAAATAGTCATTTTAATAATTGTAGTAGTTTTTACATGATAATAAGTACATGTAGCACTAGCACATCACACAAGAGCCAACTGAAACATGTGTAGGTTAGCCATTATATATCATGGCCACAAAAATGTTTGGTGTAAGAAGGGATCATAGCTTGTGAGGTTAGCAAATTTCTTCTCTCCTTTTGTGAGCTAACACACTCAGCTTGCACAACGGCCAAAAGCCTCTCGGGTGCCTGCCTAGTGATAATCAACTGAGAACTCAAGAATGGTAGACAACGCTATGCATCTGGACAACTCATCCCAGATTAGATAAAGTGCAGGGCACTAAGCAAAGTCCTAATCTTGTGGTAGTACAATTAATACGCACTACAATTAGTTACCAAACACAATGTAATAGCTGATTTACAACAAATGATTGATGCAACTTTGGTAACCCATAATGTAGCAAATGAATTGATGCAACTTTTTGTGTAGTGCTACTAGCACTTGTCATGGCCTCATGGCCTATAATGTTTGTTTCTCTTTTTTTTTTCTTCTTTTTTGGGTCAGCTCAGCAGCAACAGACCTTCTTATCCAATTATCCAAGACTAGCTTTTGATTACTTGAGACCAATTAGCATCTGATGGCAACATGTCCATGATGAGACATAAAAGTTTGTTAAGATATAGTTGCTTTGAATCTAGTTGCACTTTAAATAGTTTTGCTTATTTTTGGTTATTGAACTTCGCCAGGTTTGAAAATTTCAGAAGTGGTTAAGTCACTTTTGAATGTAGCTAGGAGATATGATTTTGTTGTTTAAGAAGGAATGCATGATTCTCTGCTTGCTAATAGTAATACAGATAACAACACATTAATCATACAGAAATATGTAAAAGCTATAAAAAGGTTGCAATCCTGATCATCAGAAGCAAACAAACCACTCAATTTCTCTTTAAATTAGGGTCTCATTGTAATTTAGAAGTGTAAATTATTCTCCAGAAGTGTACTTTCAGAAATCAATGCTATTGGACATTTGAATATGCACAGATGCACAGCTTTTACAAAAAAAAAATTAAAAAAAATCTGATGATCAGAATTAAACAAGCCACTCAATCTCTCTACATTAGGGATTGGTTGTACTTTAGCAGTGTGAAGTATTTTCCAGAAGTGTACTTTCAGAAATCAATGCCATTCGATATTTCAATATGCACAAACACGGCACCATCACCATGATGTAAGATGATAACAAACGAGATAAAGAATAATTCTGTATAAGTTGAACGAGATTCAAAGGGATTTATAATGTTTTTACTGCAATAATCAGAAACTGAAAAACTAAAGGAGTGATGAGCTTCAGAACTGAGACATATATATATAAGCTCTTTATTTTCATCAATCATACTTATATATACATTATTTTCTTACTACGTATATTTGGCAGTGGAGCACTTTGCTCTACATTACAAAAGAACAGAAGAATGTATATAGTCAGTCAGGGTTAACATCTAAGACAAAATACATCATGCAGTAATGAGTTCCATTTAGCAACAACTCATATATATATCCAGCTCAAATCCCTCTGAAATGTTGATCGGTTCAGCCAATTCCTTTCAGGAGTCATTCTTGGTTTTCAGCAAGAGTATGACCGAGATCCATGTTCATGCCATTATAGGCTAGGGGCGCAAACATCCATGTGTCGTCAGAGCTCAATAGCTGTTTAGAAAATTGAAAGAAGATCAGATAAAAGATATATACATCTTTCGAATGCATAATGTGTAACACAAAAGATTAAGCAGAATTGATTCTTCTTTCATTTTGCATTCTGAATGTTCTAGTACATGTATTCTGAAAGTGCTGTGAAACCAGGGAACATTCTAAAATGTGTAGTGAAATTGCCTTTATTAATGTACTTGCAGCCATGAAGTACCCTTTTTCTACAAAATCTATGATTTTGTATCCTTCTGTTGATTTGATTTTACTGTAACATAACTAGTACCTTTATTTGCAACTGCAAAAACTTGACATACTGAACTGCTTCCTCCAGCATTGTGCTGATGTCAACCTGAAAATGGGAGACAGATTACATTATTCATTGATGCACTCAAACTTACTACATTGATTGTTCTGTTCACCAAACTAGTAAGATAATTACTAAATACTAATCAGCAAAAGCTTACTTTAGTGCCATTGGGAACAAGCTGCTGAAGTATTCTCAGTCTCTCATTAATCCTTTCCCTTCTCCTCTGTTAAGATGGTCAGAAACGCCGTCAGAAAAAATACTTCAGATTCAAACATTAGACAAATTAATAACACAATTAGGTCCTAACCTTAGCATAGAGGCTTTGTGTATCCTTGGAGCACTGCTTATGGCCTCTTGAATTGTCACTTTGTTTCAGCACTACAGATCCATCAGTTGCAGCAATTGAATCCTCTCCGACGCTGCTCCCGGAGGAACAGCTAGGATTGACAAGTTCAGAGCTAGTCTCATAGTCAGTAATGGTTGAACTACTTGATACCTAAAATAAAATGAATTTTAGTCATTACAACAGTTTAAGCATGAACCAAAATTCTCATGCCAAATTGACCTACCGAGCGAGAAGTTCGGGTTTTCTTCTTCGGCTTCTTCTGCTGCTGCTCAAAGTGCTCATCCATGGGGAACATCCTCTTGTTCCCAGTGATGACCTGATGCTGATGATCAGAACACATATCCATGCCAGTGCTAACCATCAATTGCACTGTGCCAAATCCCTCATCATCCATCAGAGGAAGAAACAAGCTGCTAGGCATTGTGCTAGTTGTGACACAAGAATTTACACTACTGTCAGGAGAATAAAAGTTGATTTCAGCATCAGTGCTGCTCCAGAACATGGACTTTAGTTGATCAATCATCTCAGATTCCTCACTCCTTGCATCAGCAGAGCTCCAGATGTTTGCACACCTTGCATCCATCCTATTGATCTGAAACTTCCAAGCTCTAATTTGTGATCTTTTGAAAAGAGTTGTAATGTGTGATCTCTTGGAATTGTTTCTGTGAGCACTGTGCAGGTAGGGGCACAAATTTATACTATGTTTCCAGAGAATCATCTGCAGATATAAATTTGACTAAGGTTCCATCATAATCTTATCTTTATGTACAAATGACAACTAAGAGCTAGTACTTTATATCGCAAGTTCCATGACCCATACCCTCAGGATCTTCAAATGATAGAAAGATTATATGGGGAATCGATTGCCCATTGAGAAATCTAAAGAGGCATGCTATATAGACTTTTGGTTGAGGTGAGAGGGAGGAAAAAGAAAAACAACTAACAAGGTTAATTATATGATAACATTAAATGATTCATATGATCGGCAATTAAGTCGCAAGATCAATAGCCGATAATACGACACAAAAAAACATCAACACCACTTATAAGAAAATAATAAGAGCTGGCCACAAATAAGAAATTTGGAGGGAGGTGATCATGGAGAAGAAGTGCTGGCAATGTTATAAATAAAATAGGACACAACTGATATCAAACTCAGTTTGGCAGCTTCACATTTTCTTTCTTGGTGACTTAAAGAGGATAGTGAAGAACAGTATGGCATGCCATACCCTTTGCTATAATAATGTACATAAGTAACTAATCCTAGTTGTGCAATTCAGTAATTCACATTGTGCAAGTCTATCTACATACTGAATTGAAATGCTATGTGAACAAATAAGGTGAAGCCATGAATATGATGTCACTTAATTGTTCTTTATTCTGTTGTACTTGTATAATAGGACAGCTCAAGACGTGCTTAATGTTTGTATTAAGCATGCAAGGATGGCTTCCATGAGCATTAATGTTGCATCTGGCATTAATTAAGCTGCACAAACAAATATCTGGTTAGATTCACAAATCACTACATACATCTTGAATATGTGCAATAAAATGGACCAAGTTCATCATTGCATTCACAAATACAAGCTAGCTGTCCTTCAGACTTCATCTGGGGTAACATACTGCCACTTGAAAGGATCTCCAGGAATTTAATGACCCAATGCCAATCATTTCATTAGCCAGATATAACTGATTTCAATGGGGGCTTAGTACAATATCACATTAACTATATAAAATCTTCAGATCTCCATGATGCAAAGATGGAGTACACTTTGACAATATAGTGCAACCAAGAAACCAGAATGCAATGCCAACTTGCAAGACAATAAACATGCAATCTGATGTAGAAAACAGAACAGAGAACAGAAGGAAGAAGACATAATTATATAAAAAAGACATTATTAGAAAAAAAAAAAGGTGTCAACTTAATAGGCCAATTAGCACTTTATTCAATTCAACTGGACTGTGTTCTGTCAGTCCATAGTAAATGGATGCAAGATCATTTATGAAATGACAGCTAAATTTGTGGTCTTACAACAAGTAGAGATTAGTATTATGCTTTATATGCCCTCAAATAGAATCAGCCAGTACTCTAGTCCAACAAAAAGGCACTAAATTCCCAAGGTTTGAAGTCACATCAAAGCCTGAATCATCATTATGCACGAAGACAAGAAACAGAAAGAACTCCGATTTCACCAACCCAATGAACTCTGTTTCATGCAAGAAGACCACATCAAATGCTATGCTTTCATACTCAAAACGTTCAATAGCCTTGTATGCCAACAAAATAGTCCTAAAAGTGTCAAAATTTTATGGCGCACGAAACACAATTTCCCTGCAAGATCTATACATCAAGAGTATGACAGCAATCTCACACAGATAAGTACAGCTTCAAGATTCACGCTGATAATGTAAGAAAATAAAGTGCATCTAAACAGTGAGTAGACAGCCATCTTATTCCAAACATGCATAACAAGATTTTATCACCTCAGCACACTTCTTTGATAGAGGTGATATAGCATTATCATATATTGCCATCTGTCATGCAAGCTGCAGCAAATAATGTTTTTTCTGGACCACCCCAGATGACAAAAGGAAGAAAAGATAACATTTTTCCTCACAGCTATGTGGCTATGTGCATGGCTACATCTCATTGCAGAAGGCCAACAAAATCTTTGACAAATGGGATGCAGCTTCCCATCCTTTCCTGATTCACAACACTAAAAGGGTACTGTTGATCTGTCATTCTCTACAAAATACAGCCAAATCTTCGAGAAAGGTGTTGGTACATCCAAAACTAAAAGAGTAAAATATATGGCCGGTCCTTAAACTTAAGCGTGGGTGTCACTTAGGTCCACAATCTTGTAAATTGCACAGTCAAATCCACCAACTTGGTTTAATGATACATAGCAGGTCCAAACCCCACTTGACCGGCTCGGACCGCCGACGTGGCACGCCACGCAAGCACCCGTTTTGCAGATACCCCCCCTCCGCAACAGCAGTTTCCTGGGCAGCACAAAAATCCCCTAATCCATCGCATCCCTCCCATTCTTCCACACCTAGGGTTAGTGGCTGAAGCGGGTGAGGCGACGAGGGGACGGTGTGCGGCGGCGAAGTGCGGAACGAGGAGGTAGCGGTCGGAGACGGGTTGGTTGCGGCCGGAGTCGGCGAGGTTGAGGCTGGAGGCGGCGAGCAGCCATGGCGTCTGCAAGCTCGTCGTCGTTAAGCAGTCGACGAAATAGGTTAGTTCTACCGTTGATTGTGTGCCCCTCATGCAACGTGAAGACCATTGTGAGATGCACAGCGAAGACGGATGCTAATCGAGGCCGTGTTTTCTACACTTGTCCTGACCATGAGGTGATTATTAGTTGAGTTCATTTGGTTGGATTTTGTTAACTGGGAATTACCTGAGATGTGTTGATTTGAGTTTGCTTGTTCTTGGTGTAGAAAGATGGATCTGGGTGTAACTTTTGGTATTGGGAGCAAGGTTACATCAATTTTCTCAAGAGGAATGGCTTCATTGAAGATGGCACTAAGGGGAAGAGTGCATTAAGGGTGGATCTGGAGCAAGATGATTTTGGCAGACAAGATGAACTAGAGAAGAATTTGATAGCTGTAGTGCCCATTGCTAGAGAACTACTGTTGGCAGTGAAGGGCATGCTAGTTTTAGGGTTATTTGGAGTTGTTATTTTAGTACTCCCTCCGTTTTTTAATAGATGACGCCGTTGACTTTTTCTCATATGTTTGACCATTCGTCTTATTCAAAAAATTTACATAATTATAATTTGTTTTGTTATGAGTTGTTTTATCACTTATAGTATTTTAAGTGTGATTTATATCTTATACATTTGCATAAAATTTTTGAATAAGACGAATGGTCAAACATGTAAGAAAAAGTCAACGGCGTCATTTACTAAAAAAACGGAGGTAGTATGTATTTTGGTTGTTGTCATGATGAAGTGAAGGTGGAATTGAATGGAGAATGTTGAATGTATTTTGGTTGTGCCAACTATTGAAACTGAATGTATTTTGGTACAAATCCAAGTGAATAATTAAGTATGTTGCCAGTATCTGTTCCAAGTAAAATTTACAGCATGTTCAAATTTAAATTGGTGGTGAAATTTGTGTGTAACAAGTGCAATTGTTTGATGCTTTAAACACATGCATACCAAAACACATGTAGATATTGTAATTGTTCCAGGATTAGATAGAGTGACAGTTGCAGAATCAGAATGCATACCAAAACACATGCTTGAAAAAAGGCAGGTTTAGATAGAGTGACAGTTGCAGATTCAGAATGACAGCTTCATTGCATCAAGACATATATATGTGATAAAGCAAAAGCACAATTGAACATGAGAACCAACCACTTCATTGCATGACAGTAATGTTTTATCCAAAAGCACATCCAGAACCACCACAACACATATGTTTGCTGTCATGACACAACATGTAATTTACATGGCAGCAACACTGACATCCAAAACACACATCCACATCCAGTATTTCTTGTCATGAACATGAGTTGGCAAGCAAAAGTATTCCTATGATCTTTACAAGCAAAAGTATTCCTGTGATGGTATGAACATATAGTGTTCCTTGCAGGAGCACTATCTTCCTTCAAGCCTTTTTCTTCTTTGCAGGAGCACCATCTTTCAAGCCATCTGTTGCCTTCTTTTTCTTTGAAGTGCCAGCTGCATTCTTCTTAGCCTTGGCCATCTTTGATCTGCCTTCTTTTGTTGATGTGGTCAATACCACAGGTCTAGTTGTTGGTTGGTTTTCTTGAATGAAAGCACAGTCTGGCAGTGGCCCATGCTCCTGAGTTAGTTGACTGGGCTGTGATGCCTATTAGAAACAGAAATTTGTTGAGGTTAAAAATCAGAGCAAACTGAAAGTGTGAATGACAGTTCTGGTACAAATGCAACATGTGTTGACAGCTCAGAATCTGAAAATTACCTCCAACAGCATGTGATCCAACATATTGTCATGCACCTCAGCCAACAGTGAAGACCACCTGGTTGTGGTCCCATTAAATCCTGTAACACAGCATAGTCAAGAGAGAAGGCTTAGTTATAACACAGCTCAAGAGATTAACACAATATAATCTAAATGGTTTAGTTGTACTAACCTGAGTCATGAGAGAAGGCTCTTCTATCCCTTCAGCAAGATTTCTTCTTGTCTTGTGCTTAGGCCTTATCCCTTTCTTCCTCAGCTCACACCCTTTTTTATTATGGTTAGCTTCATGACAATAGCTGCAGTGAATAGTCACACCATGTTTGGTAAGCTTGGGACCATTTCTACCTTGCACTTCCTGTGGTTGCTTCCTTCTGCTTTTCTTTGGCCGGCCAACCTTCTTCTCATACACAGGTGGCAATATTTGGGGTCCATTCATTTTCTCCCACTTGGATTTATCATTGCAAGGCATGATATTGTCTGCATAGACTGCCTTGAAGGCATTGATAGAGTAGCAGTGTGGAAGAAAATTTTCTTCAGATAGTCTATCTTCTCTAATGCAAGTAATGCCATGGCAACAAGGGATGCCAGTTAGGTCCTACCTCCTACAATCACAGTGCTTGGTCATAACATCTACAATGTAAGTGTTCACAATGCCAAGGTCATCCTTTAAAGTTTGCAAGAACCAGGACCATGTGGTCAACGATTCCACTTCCACAACAGCCATTGCTATTGGAAATATGCAGTTATTGGGGTCAATGCCAACTGCTGTCAACAACTGTCCACCAAATTTGGTCTTGATATGGCACCCATCCAAGCAAATGATAGGCCTGCAGCCACTTAGAAAACCCCTCTTGCAAGCATCTAAAGAGAAATAAAGAGAACTAAACTTGCCCTCATCAAGTTTCAAATAGAATGAGCTGCCTGGGTTTGACCTCCTCAATTCATGCCCATAGTCCCACAGCATGTTGTATTGTGCAACCTCATCTCCATATATCTCTTTAAGTGCCAACCTCCTAGCCCTTGCCAGTTTGCTCCTTGAAGGTGTCAAATTCCACTCTTTCTGAACAGTTTTTGCAAAGCTAGGTAGAGTCATCTTGCAATCTGCCCTAAATGACAATGTATTTCTGTGCAAGCCAATTGGTTGTGCACCTCTGAAGAACCTACTCCTTTCTACATTTGTGCTGAGCCACATAGGTCTTCACAATAAAACCATACACTCTGCTATCTAATGATGCATACATGTTCCAAGGGCATCCTTCTGCACAGTGAGCTTTGATCCTTGTTATATCATTTCTTGGCATCTTGATGTCCACCCTGTTCTTCAAGCTGTACTCAGTGATTGCTTTTCTAAGCAACTCAAGAGAAGGGAACACCATTCCAACTTTAAAAACAGGGTTATTCATATCTTCTGGGTTAAATGATTTGAACCTCAAATTGATCTCATCTGTATTGTCTGGCAGCTCCAAGATCTCTTCATCACTTGACTCCTCATCTGATCCTTCCTCTCTAAGTACTTCCTTCCCCTTGAGCTTGCTACCTGCAACCTTCTTGTGATTGAACTTCTTAGGTGCCAATCCCTGGTCCAGCACATCACCATCCACATTATCTTCAAATAAGTCATCATCATCATCTTGCAACTCATAGTCAATGTCCACAAAGTCTAAATCATCAGCCTCACTATCATTGCTGTCATAATCACCATGATCTTCAATTTCTTCAGCTTCTTCATCTACAACCACACACACTGGTTCTCCTACATTACTACCCCCTTGGTTCCCATGTTCCTTCTGCTGACAACCTCTAACAGGGCTCATTACTTTCGGCAACTGAGAGATTAGGCTCAGTACGATATCTTCATGATTACTGCCTGAAACATGGTCACTATGGTCTAAATAGAGGACAAAGTTCTTAACTCTGTTGCACACTGAATTCATTACATTAATCTCCACTTCATTGTCCACAATTCTCAAGCCATCAGCCAATCTCTTTCCAAGCAACAACCAATACACTTCCAATCTTGGCCCTGCTGCATAACCCAGCATAGCAACCAAATCTAACAAGTGAAGAGAACTACCCCACTCCCGAGAATTAACATAGTCAAACCAGCTAACTTTTCCATCCACATAACTGCGATTGACTCCCATTCCACAGAAAAATCCACCATGATGAATCTCAATTGTGAAATGCTTCGAATTAGGGCCTACCCATGGCAAATAAAACAAAACGATCAACAACCAACTAAAACCCTAGCTGCAACCCTAACTACCCAAATAGCATTTCATAAAAAACCCTACTTCCCAGCTACAAACCATGCAGATGAGTGCTACACCACAAGGAAGTGCGGTACTTACGGTACACGGGCGCCGCCTCAGCTTCTCCCCTCAAGCTGAGGTCCATCGTCGCCTGTGCGCCGACGCCAGCGAGGGAGCCGGAGCACGCCGCTGCCTATCGCCCGCCGACACTTGCGCAGGTGGATGCGCCGCCCGAATCGCAGCCGCCGCCGATGATCCCCGGAGTCACCTACTCGCCGCTTCCCCTCCCTCCTGAGCTGAGGATTGGGGAAAAATAGGAGAGAGGCATCGGATTTGGGATTTTAGGGTGGTGTCTAGGCTTTACTGTAGCAATAAGGGGTATATTGCAATTATTCCAAGCCTATTGGTTGCGGAGGAGGGTATCTGCAAAACGGGTGCTTGCGTGGCATGCCACGTCGGCAGTCTGAGCCAGAAGTGGGGTTTGAACCTGCCATGTATCATTAAACTAAGATGGTGGATTTGACTCTGCAATTTACAAGATTGTGGACCTAAGTAACACCCGCGCTCAAGTTTAAGGACCGGCCATGTATTTTACTCAAACTAAAAATATACACTGGACGGCACAGTTGATCCATCATCCTCTAAAAAATATAGCAAAAATGTTGGAGAAACATATCGTCACGTTCAAAACTAAATTTCACCACGAAGAAATTGAGAATTCACTGCTTCAAGAGTTGAAAATAGGTAGAAAACTACCAAGCTTTAGTGACAAAGGAAAATAAGCAGTGAAATCTTAAGAGCGTCAGCCATAGGTTTACTCAGAATTTTACATTTCAGTGCAATTGAAGTACTTTTGAAAGAAAATAGAATAGATCACATGTTAACTTGATCAAAGTCCAATTTCCATTTATTCTGCATTCTGAACTTTTTTTATGTTGTATATCTACAGTAATGAACATTGGAATCATAAAAAAAAACTGAAACAAGCTGGAATGCTGTAAACCAGTAACTGAGCCATCACAGTAGTATCAAATACACAAGACCTCAAACATAAGAGAGTACTTCAATATTTGATCACAAAGTTAGTTCAACAACCTCATGGTTCCCATCAAAACTTAAACATGTTTAATAGGACGGTACTCCGAACAAAAGCTAAACCACATAAATGTAGTATTATACTAAAAGATCCATTTCTCTGGTTCAGGCGGAGTTCTCAGGCTCAACGGCGAGGCAAAATGGCCTTCAGCGGTACTGCAAGGAGAAGACAAGAAATTTAGAGCATTTTCATTTAAAAAAATTTCTAGACTATATGTAAGTTGATTGATTCATATTGATATATGGAAACCCAAACAGTTACATCAGTGCAATGATTGTAAGAATTACAAAGAATATATATATTTATCAGGTTGGTGTGAAAAAGAAATAAGTTAAACGTTGCACATTTAAAGTGATCCATATATCAAATGAAGTACTCAAAAACTTGTGGAACAAGTGCACAACACAAGGAGCACAATGGGCGGACCATATACCTTGATGAAGCCAATATCCTTGGCGTTGCTGCGGAAGCACTGCCTGCAGCACATGAGCCCATACTTCCTGATCAGCCCATGAGGGTTCCCGCAGACCCGGCTGCCAAAAATGAACAAGCTTGCTGTTACTAAAACAATTCAGCGCAAATGTCACATTACTTTTCAGCCCACAAACATCATTCAAACATAATTTAACTTGATAGTTAAGCAACGATATCTTTCAAATAATGCAGTTATTTCCTAACATGTAGTTCCATTTGGCATTTCATCTCATGTTATCTTTGAAATCATGCAGTTCTCGTCCAATTAAAACTGTATAAACAGATTCACTAGTTAAACTACAATGATCTATTTCCACCAAAATCCTACCGTTCACTACATCATATCACAAACCACAGAATCACAATTCAAATATCTCAATTGCAACAAAACTGGTATACCATTTTAGCAAACAACACCGCTCACTATCCTATCATGAGGGTACATGTCTGACAACAGCAAACTCGCTACATCTGATTATCAATTCAAAGCAAACCCACAAAAGATACAACTTCTTTTTCCCCAATTAGGACAACCAAACCTCACATCACAGGAACACAGAAACAGATAAATCAACTCTTACTACAGCGTCTAATCCAAATTTGCAACTCTAATTAGTAATTACCAACTGGATACAAAACCAGAACATCTGAATCAGCCCATCCACACAGACCAAACACTAGCAACCACAGTATGGGACGATTTGGGACAATCAAACCACAGTTCATATCACAGGAAGAACATAAACATACAGATTAACACCTACCACAGCATCTAAATCAGCCTATCCACGCAGAACAAGCACACTACCGACCATCACCACACATGATATTCCCTTCACAAGACAAAATCAAGAACCTAACACAAACAAACCATGCGGACACAGGAGGCGAGAACAACGTACCAGACGCGGGAGCCGGGCCCGTAGTTCTTGGGGTGGGAGTTCCACACGTTGGAGTGGCCCATCGCTCGCCGCCGGTGAGGGTGACCTCGAGCTCTCGCTTCCCTTCCTTGTCGGATCGGATGCGGCGGCGAGGAGCTGGAGAAGGCGGCGGCGCGGGTGGGATTGGTGGTGAGGTTTATATAGTGGGGAGGGTGGTGCGAAACCCTAGCTCGCTCGAGGCGGCTTATTGGGCCTAATATGGGCCCTGTTTTGTGGGCTTTTTTACTTCGTGGAATATATGGGCCTTGATGTTCTGCTCTATTGGGCTTAAATGTCAGGAAAGTCCATCAGCTTGTTAGGACTAAACTATTTCGGACTTGTTCTTTCTTCTTCTTCTTCTTCTTCTTGTAAATATATCCATCGTTTTCTTCTACTTACAGTATTTATTTTGTGGGGTTTATTCTACAACTCCCTTAATAGATGACATCGTTGATTTTCGAACATATATTTAGTTCCTTATTCAAAAATTTTATATAAATGTATAAGATATAAATCATGCTTAAAGTACTTTGAGTGATAAAACAACTCACAATAAAATAAATTATTAATTGTTTTAAATTACACGAATGGTCAAACGTGTGAAAAAAATCAACAACGTTTTTAAGTACTTCTTTTGGTAGCTATTTTTACGGCGCCACATTTTTCACGAAAAAATAGTTAAATTATGTTTACATTATAAATTATCTATATTTACAATTATACATTATAAATTTCAATTTTGGTATTTACATTGCTACAAGCACTTTATTCATGAATCATTGTGCTTTTTTCTCTCAAGCTTCAAAAAGCTCACTGGGAAGTATATTCCATCTATTGGTGGGCAATAGAATCATGCAAGTATATATGCATATGCAACTGGTACATGGTGTACCTATCATGAACCTACCTATCGATCAGCACACTTCGTGAATGAGAATCTCTTTTCCAACGGATGATCAGATCAGCACGCACGGCTTAATCCGGCCTATCTGAGTGGAGAATAAGATGCCATATATATGCATGAATTCATGCACTTTTGCTTCCTAGCTACTGGTAGCCGCAAACTGAACATTTTGGAGTACTGCAGTTCAGAATTTTTCTCATTGGTAACATGCCAAACATTTTCTTCTTCCCTTTTCTTTTTGAGAGTGGTGAGATTCTGATCAAGATGAGATCCGATGCCCACTAACTATAGGATGCCTAGTGCCCACGGATTGTCGGGAACTTGCGGGTGCATAAATCTGAATGTAAGGCATTAGAAATACCGCAACGAATCCGAAACTCGATGCATATGAATAATGATCCCAAGTGACAAAAGAAAAGGCCTAGGAAAGCTATGTCCAAAATGATATATTGGTCGAGAGATAACCCAAGTGAAACTTTGCAGGCCCAATATGGGGGCTCCTATTATGGCAAAGTAGAATGACCTAAATCAATAATGGGTCCAATTGTCTCCTTTGTCAGTTTATTTCAGTTATAGTTGTTGCATCTTTTGCTAGCAGGTAGTAGCCTTCTCTGTCTACCTCATCTCTATCTTATTATTATATAATGCACAGATCTCCTATATGTTATAGAAAATAATACAACCAAATTAGGCTTGTTTAGCAGAGGTTATATAGAATTTCCCCTCTAATTAAGCTGTGTTTATCTCTTGTAGATGCTCCTACCACTACTAAACTGAAGGAATCCAGAATCTGATATGTGATCATCCATGGTCACTTTGGGTGGTCAACTAAAGTCAGATTCCTCTGTTAATTTGTGTTAGGCCACACGATCGCTAAGTGTACGTACCTCTGCATTTCACCTTAATTTGAACATGGTAAATTTTAGACAACTTGGAAAATGACACATGCCAAGAAAAGTCTTCAGCTGTGAGCTAGAGGCCACACTTAATTTGTCCTCCTTCACACTTGAAGCCATGAAAAAGATCTTCCTTAGCTTTCACTTTACGTTTAGAGCTTTCACTTTACGTTTAGCTACCTTTCCAACCAATTTGAGATGATTGTATATAAATGTTTCCAGCCAAACTAGGTTGCATAAATGAGTAGCTCACCTATCATTTGCATGGTCTTAATTTTTGCCATGCATACTACTTATTTTTAGATATATAATTCAAACCATATGCTACTCTACACATGTGCCTGAAAATTGTAATAATATTGATTCACATCCAAAATATATCTGACTATACCCCTATTTTCCAAGAGAAACATTACTGGGTGCATTATTGATATTGCAAGTTGTGCACTTATTGCTTAACATGTTGTCATATATATTCCGGTGTATACATATGCATATAGTGTTTGGTATGGTTGTGTGAATCTCACACTACAATATATATGTGGTGAGAATTATTCTTGTCTCATCTGAAAAACACACAGATAGAGTTTCTGTACTTCTGCCTTTCTTGGTGCCATGACAAGTGGCTGGTTTTGGAATGCTCTTTAGTTTTTGGTAGCTAGGTTTTCCTAGTTGCTAACTTTTGCAGCCATAGCAGGGAAGAAGAGAGAGAGATCTCAAGAACAAGTTGAGCACCTTGAAAGGGACAAACTAGGAGGAGAAATTCTTTGAATCTGCACACTACTCTGAATCTCTGCAGAATGTTAGTTAGCACGACCAAATCAGTCAGTCAATCAATCAATCAATCAATCCAACTGGTGTGCTCCAGAGAGGATAAATACTGACATGGAACTTGTCCCCCTGGCCCCCTTTTGCATAGTGAGGTGATGTAGATGTCTCAAGTGCAGTGCAATGCAATGCAAGGCTCATGCAATAGTGATAGAGTTTGGTGTGAGATATATACATGCATGGAGTAGTATGAGTACCTTTTTTGTTTTGTTCCCTTTGGTGATGGTGATGCCCTTGGCTAGCTAGCTGACAACTGCCTAACCTTTGTCTGCCCAGTGTCCAATCAGGCCATGTAAGTGGGAGTCTTGGGAGCTTTGGAGGTATCTCCTCTTCTTTCCCTGTCACTTGCATGCATTTATGCTCTCTGGAGGAATTGAAGATGGTGATGTTCTTGCCAAGTGTGCAAACCCCACGATGACACGTGTCGTTCGAGTTGTTTATTAATTCAAGCCCTCAATAATCTTGCTCAAACAACTGTATGTTTGATGGCTTATCAATTAAGTACTCCCTCTGTTTACATAGTTCTGACGTTTTAGATAAGTTTGAAATCAAAGAATTAGACTTTAATTATTTATAATTATTAGAATATTCAGTTTGAAGACACTTGAACACGATACATAGATTAGTAAAAGTATTTGAATGAACATAAATACATTTACTTATTTTTCAATATATTATAATATATAGGAAATCATAGTTAAATATATATTTTGGAAACTGTGTCCTATATAAAACCTCAAGAATTATGAAGAAATATTGCTCAAATAATTGTGGTACGTACGGTGCTACTAGCTAGTATCGACAGTAGAAGATCTGTACAGATCAGTTACACAAAATTAAAGCCGCAAATTGAAGGATATATGGCTCCAATAAATTTTTTTTATAATAAATATAGATGGCACTTGTCTGAAGTCTGAAGTCTGAAGACCGAGAAAAGCTAGCTTAGGGTGTGTTTAGTTTACGCTAAAATTAAAAGTTTGATTGAAATTGAAATAATGTGACGAAAAAGTTAAAAGTTTACGTGGGTAGGAAAGTTTTGATGTGATAGAAAAGTTGAAAGTTTGGAAGTAATCTCGGCATTGGAATGATTATTATGCAGCAGTCATATATGCAGGACAAGGGCAGGGCGTTCGTCCGTCGATGGATCCGTCGCTTTTATTCTGTGGACGATCGATGTCGTGTCAGGAAGGGTTCATGTCACGTCAAATCGATCGGTTTCATGCCGGTGCGTCGATCCAAAGTACTTGGAGACCCTCACATAGGCTGCGTTTAGTTGGATCCACGGTTTAGATTTTGGTTGAAATTAAAGATGATATGACTGAAAAGTTGTGTGTGTATGACAGGTCGATGTGATGGAAAAGGACTGAAGTTTGAATCCAAATTTTAGATCTAAACACAGCCATATTTCCACAAGTGCGCGTCTCATCGCTCTCATCTGCCTCCAAATCAGAAGTTTTCAGGTTCAGGCGGCCAAGGAATTGCATGAGAAAGTTTCTCTAGCTTAATTGGACATGAAGTTCTCAGGTTCAGGCCAAGGAATTTCATGAGAAGTTTCTCTAGCTTAATTGCACAAATTTTGACAATTTGACCCTTTGCAAAAACTATTTTTATAAATGAACCGCTGTCAAAACTTATTTTAAATCTGACCCTTTTGCTCAGCGACAAATCCTGTGGCGCTGAACTTAGACACCTCAACGCCAAATAGCATGGCGCTGAATGTACGTTGGCACGCTGATTTAGTCTCCCATCCGCTGTGGCACGGTATTCAGTGCCAGCTGACATGGTGCTGAGGTGTCTAAGTTCAGCGACACATGATTTGGCGTTGAGTAAAAGGGTCAGATTTGAAATAAGTTTTGGCAGCGGTTCATTTGTAAAAATAGTTTTTGTAAAGGGTCAAATTGTCAAAATTTGTGGTTTAATTGGACATGAAGTTTTCAAGTTCAGGTCAAGGAATTGCATGAGAGGTTCTCTAGCTTAATTGGACATATAATTGTCTACAGATTTGCTTCCTGATGTCACTCCCATGTACAAACCCATATGTCAATGAGTATTACTGCACATCCAGTAATTTTAGAGTGCCTTCGAAAGAGAGAAGATTGGAATATTTTTCTTCTGTGCACGTAAAGCGGGTGACTCATTAGCGTATGATTAATTAAGTATTAACTATAAAAATTTAAAAGGAGATTAATATGATTTTTTAAAGCAACTTTGTTTTTTTTAAATTATATGTACCATTTAGTAATTTAGAAAACGTGCATGTGAATAACGAAAGAGCATAAGTTATAAACCTATATTTCCAAACACACCCTTAGTTATCCTCAGGTGTGGCAATCGTTATTGATTTTGCAAATCAACAAAATGTATATACGTATATGAAAATGCAAAACTATAAAACTTTCATCAAGGGTGGATCTACGGTAGAGCTATCTGGATCAATCAACGAGAGGATAAGTACTATACCATAGTTCTCATTTGGTACTTGGTGTCAGGATACACTAATCGTACCCGGTAAATTGCTTAA